TAGAGCACGAAACCAATAGCTTCGAAACAAAAACAAAATAATACTAATCAGCACATATAATGTTAAGTTCAGGTTTTGATTGGTAATTGTAATTGCTGTTTTCCAATCTGTTTGAAGATACCACCACAAGATGCTGTTCATTGTGCATGAGTGTGTTAATGCTGGGCTTTAACACGATAGTTGGGTGATTACATTTTCAAGTTACTTTTGGGCGCCACTGAATTGGTAAGCTTGAAAAGAGCTTTAATTTGATATCACCTTGGACCAATCAGAGAGAAAGAAGTAGACGAGTTTGTAAAAAAAAAACAAGAGCCAAAAGTGCACCTGGAGGAGATGGCGTGTCGTATAAGGTGTTCAAGTATTGCGACACGCTGAGACACACCCACACCCTCTTGGAATGCTAAGAGTCTTGCTTTTGAATTTGATTTTGAAAAAATCCCATATATCTTGAATGAAAGTTGGGATATTAACATTTGAAGGAGGTTGGGGGGGGGGGGTCACATGATGTCAGAGGTAAAATTAATGAGAAAATGGCCATGAGAGAACAATGAATGCAAAGGACTGACTTCCAAGATGACATTTCATGAAGTATGATTTTAAATATTATATGTCTTTTAGAATTTTGCCTCCAACTCTGTACCTCTCAAATGTTGTGTGAGCGAGTTCCAAATAAACCAAGGTGCTCTCATAACTCATGAGAAATAATGATAAAAGATAGTGTTTGTAATTTGTATTACGCATACCCCCGCTCTACAACAAGCTCTATACGCTTAAACACTGTATTATTACCGAAGCAGACCATAGAACACTCAGAAACATTCTCAGCTTCCCGGGAAGAATACAGTGCAAGCAGCTGATTCAAACACTACCAAACTGACAAAATCTTCCACTGTCTATAATATAATAGCTGTGGACCCATTCTCACCTGGGTGAAGTGAGGAAAATTCGTGTAAAGTGCTTTCCCAAGGACACAACGTCGGGTCTCTGACAGGATTCGAACCCACGATCTTAAGGTTGCGAGTCTGAGATCCTAACCATTAGGCCACCGACTGATCTCCTGATCTTAGAGATCTTGGTGAAACACATTTGAATGAGGAGGTTTAAACGTAAGAGTGCTTTAGTCGAAACAGGACAAACATTTTTATGAGTGTCATGATTTCTATTACATTCGGCATTGCATAGAAGGAA